ACCTAAAATTCGTTAGTGTAATTTCAAAGTTGAATAGTGAATATTAAAAAAATCTGAAATATGAAATTCATTACATTTGGTTTCTTAATTATTTTGATATTGGCAATCTTTACTTGTGAGTACAACAAAACTTTGTTGAAATACTGTTTATTATACAAATAATTTTATCAACATATTTCAGATGCTTTTGCTACGCCTTGCGATATCCCTGAAGTGGAAGAAAGCCCATGCAGTGGCCCACCAGTGATTAAATCTCTCAATTTTCTTCCAGATGATACACTAATATTTAATTAAAGGATTGCTGTTAACGATGAGTGCAAGAAAATTAATTTTAAACAGTGGAATTAATGTGTGAGAATTGCTTTGAATTAAAATTTGAATACCTCGAGTTACAAAAAATAAAGTTTAACTTCTTCAAATAAAATTTGTGTTTTCTTGGAAAAATCGACTTTAGTTGCCAGAAATGACATATAAGTACTATGATCAAAATGATATGAATGTATGTAAGCTCACCATCATTAAAATGAAAGGAATAGAGATCATGTATCTGAACTATGAACAACTTTTCTCAGCTTTATATATGCCTTTAAAGAGTTTATGGTTCGGACTTATTGATTAAACTAATATAGGTATATTCTTTTACAAACAGTGAGTATTATCGATCTATGCTATATTCATAGATCGAATATATATTGGAGTTATGGTTACAACAGCCAGATGCTATACATATTTTTAGAGTGACTTATTTATGAGTATATAACTTAATTAATATGTGATTGGGGTGGGTTTTTTCAAAATCAGAGGGTGTTTTACAACAGCCAATCTAGAATAAATAAACCACAACAAAGTATGAGCATACGTTGAATATACACTTGAACTATGTAAATTGCACTGAAAAAATACCTACAGAACGATTACAAAAGAATTTACAAAAGCAAACGAGAAGAATTGATAACGAAATATTGACAGTCATATAATATAAAAGATATAATTAGCTGAACACCATGGTAGATGCGAATAGGTATAACAAAAAATTAGTGAGAGACTAATAGCAAGGTTTCTCACCTTGGTGAGTGACCAAGGTTTATAGCAATACCACAAGAGATATATTCCGTGTGCTTAAATATGATTTAGGCAGGAATAACAAGACAGTTAGTACATCAAAGCTATATCAGAACCAAAACAGCTGTTGGAGCATTGCTATATGCCTAATATAAGTCAAGCAATGACACTATTAAGTAATTTGAAATTTACAAATTAAAGGTAATATAGAACATTTTTGAAAGAATGCATTTCTATTCAATGAATTAAGAAATGTTAACTTCAACAAGTCATTGCTGAACTCTGAAGAAGTAAGTTTAGATTGCAGTGTCGGCCTTGCACACAAAAGCCCACTTCAGCACTAAAAACTGGTACTCTGTGATACTACGAAAAAAAAAGGGATTAAAGAAGTTAATGTTGAATGGACGAAATGCTATATAAAATAAAAGTATAAAAGTATAAAGTAAAGTATAATTTACTTTACTCATAGAGAGAGAGAGAGCATATAAAGTCACTATAGCTATATAGTTCATAAAAAATTGTAAATATATACTTTGAAATGTCGTTTCATAAATTAAAATTGCGGCTGATGACTATATCAGTTATTCCCATTCCAAGCTTATAATGCATAGGATAATGTAATAGTTTAAGAATATCTGGTTAAGCAAGAACTTTTTTGCAATTACTATTTTTAAAATATATTTTAAAATATATATATATGTAAGATATATGATTTCATGTATTGATGAAGTAAAAATTATGATAGCATATATATGAATTTAAGATACAATCAAACTAATTAAACTAAACATAATCAAATTAAGAAATACACTGCCGAAACCGACCGTAACTTAACTACCTCTTCGACTGATCACTTTACGATTGCATCTTATCCCCGCAACCACTGACCTTGCCAACTGTTGACATATACCCATATATATACCTGATATATATATATCTAAAACATATATATATCTGATGGTATATTTAAGTACCACACAATTTTGGCGCCTCTTGTATAACAGTTAAGAGGCGCATACCCAAATAACGTATTTTGGATACAGGTGATCTTGATTTTCAAACATTCTGTATCTGATCTACACCGATTAATAAATTTTGACTTTTTGTTTTAAATTTTTGTATTCAGACGTATTTATTGCTTATATTTAAAAAAATTCTAATTATTTGCTTAACTCAATATGTTGTACAGAACTTAAGTGTAGAGTGCTGAATTTTATAATAGATTATACGTTCAAAATCTTATCATCGTCTTTAGCATCTTGAATCTAGTCGTAGTTCCTAGCTCCTCATTTCGTTCATGAAGCTTTATCCTGTTTTTGACCGAGATCATTTTTAAACATTTCTAGTCTTCTTACTCCATGCGATTCATAAATGATACAATATCGTTCCTTCCAACAGTGATTTGTATATCAAAATTAGATCTTTTGAATTTTTATCTATTATTTTATACAAGTACTTTTTGTTTTGTGATAAACCCTGAATTTATAGGTATTTAAAATATTTTTAAAATAAATGCTTTCTAACGTTAATACAACTAATCAATTTGAAGAAAACTTATTTGAGAAAATAATTTGAGATAATATTTTAACAAAATGATTAAAGAAGATTTTGAAAATACCAGTTAGGGATTATAAATAAATGAATTGATTTGTAAGAAATTAGTATTCACAGAATGACATTCTCATTTTTTAAATAAATACATCGTAAAGTATACTTGTAGTTTCCTGATCTAAGATTTACTTAATCAATTTTAAATAAATTAACTTAAATTTACATGAAAACTAAGTAGTGTTAAATCAAAAACAAAATTTATTGACAATATCTAATTCTCAATAAATATTTCAACTTCTGAATAAATAAATGTCAGCAAGGAAGCCATTTTTTAGATATTTTATGGCACAAAAAATGTATAAAAACGGCGTTCGCCTATTCAAAATTATCAGTGAAACTTCTGAGTTGAACAAAATATAATCAAAAAAAAAACCTAAAAAATGAAATTCATTACTTTTGGATTCTTGCTTGCCATGTTCTTGGCTCTCTTCGCCGGTAGGTGGATATTTTATCTTTGTCAGTAAGTGGACTTAAGAAGTCTCTTTATTCCGAATATTTTTCAGATACTCTGGCTAGTCCTAATATGGACCTGGAAACAGAAATAGGACCACGCAGGCATCTTCTATCAGCTAAAATAGACGATTTATCTATAGAATACGTTCCTGAATTTTAGACAGCAATTGAAATATATAAGAGGGAGAATTACAAACCTAATTTTTGAACATACTTCTAGTTCTTTTTGAATAAGATTACTTTTAGAAATTATGTTTTTTCTATCTTAAATAAAAGTTTACTGAGCGAAAAGCAAAGAAAAATTAATTTTAAAATATCTGACAAATTAAGAATTTTGAGGTATTGTTGGAAAAGTACTATAGGGACAACACAAAGTATTATTGTATACAAGATCTGATTATAGAAAACATCCAATGGTCGCAGTGCTCTGCATTGATGTGAGCATAAGTGCCTCTCTAATGCACTTTTACACCTACAGTGAGTTAGATTTATCTATCTATCTATTGTCGAAGTTGGAAAGCTTTTCAGAGATAAAGCAGAAACTATACTATGCTCATTCACCAATCATTTAAATACGATAAAACTATTGTATTATATTTTTGACTCAACACTACATATGTTTTTGATATGATTATATTTATCAACATACGGATATTATAAAGACAGTTTCTTTATTTGATAAATAGCTTTGCGTTTAAAAATCATTAATATTATTTTAAATTACTTTATAACTTGCATATCAATCTACGTGTTAATCCAATTAATCACTTTCAAAATACGAAACTCAATTACGAACTTTCGATTATTGACTATAAAAAGACTGTTCGGACCATTAAAATGATTAGTTAAAGTCATAAGTTTATATGAAAGTAACAAAAACAAAGTTTTATAATGAAATTATTTACATTCGGATTTTTGCTTGCCATGATCTTGGCTTTCTTTGCCAGTAAGTGAATTTATATTAATGATCAGATTTGGATATTCTATAAATCTTTATTACATATCAGATACCATGGCTAATCCGCAAGATTATCTTGCTCCAGAGGATCCACGTCATCATCCCTCATCCGCTGAATTGCGCAATCTCGCACCAGAAGTGGCTCCAATTCCAATGCCTTATTAGAATCGAATGTTTGAAAGAAGCTAAATTGTCATCACTTAGAGTCTATATAATATAATATAGTGTATATGATATTTTAAAGAAATGTCTAGCATTTACTTCTTTCAATAAATTTTCTGAATACTTAAAACTTATGAAAATCGGTAGAGTTTTTGTTTTATACTATGTTAGAAGTTACACAGAAGGAGAAACATGTACAGTTTTAAATGCAATAGTGTAAAAGTATATATCTATATATGTATATATGGTATATATCTATTGATTTTTGGAAACGGTAAAGTCGTGCTTATATACTAAGTCGTTGATTCTTAAACATATTTATGTTGCAGTTGCAAGTACTGATGATCTTCATAGATACTACTACGATATTACGATTTCCATTTTAGTTGGTGTATATTTTTCCCAATTTGTAAAAATATTTACTCAATCTTCCTTTAAAAACACTTTGAAGATTAGACAGTTAACATCAATAATAAACGTTTAAGCAAAGACGCTTAACTGCATTTACTTTGTTTATATTTTTAAAATTTCATTTTCATTTTAATGATTAATGTTATTATTATTATTGAAAAAATTTGAATACCTTAAAGTACATTTTTTAATTTAGTAAATAACTTTTCCTTTGTAATCAATTTATCTTGCTTATAATTGTATTACAATTTGCATAACCCCTATTAATTACGTACTTGTGATTAATAATATTTTTCAATAAAATCAAACGTAATTTCATACTAACAATCAATGATTATAAAAAGATAGTATTCGAACCATTAAAACTATCAGTCAAACTGATACCTTTAGAGGAAAACAGTAAAAGTGAAACTTTAAAATGAAATTTTTCGTATTCGGATTTTTACTTGCTATGCTCATGGCACTTTTTGGCAGTAAGTCATCATATAGCATAACAGAATTAATGAGATCAATTAAAACATATACTAATATATATCAACTTATTTTAGATACTCTTGGCAGTCTTAAAGAGGATCCAGAACATCCTTCATTCGCTGAATTGCGAAGCTTTGTACCACCACCGGAGCCAGCTCCATATCCTTTTTAAAATCTTTATTTTATTGCATTTTAAAAGAAGTTAAGTTTAAACATTTGAACTCACATTATATGGGCTTGAACATTTATTTTGTAAACCAATATGCTAAACCAATAAATAAAAGCTGCTCCTTTCATGTCTTTTGAAAGATGTCTAAAATATTGAATGGTTTTTGTTGAATACTGTATAAGTAATTGAAAAGAAAAATAAACAATAATATATATATATATATATATAATATATATATATAATATATATATATATATATATATATATCTATATATATATATATATATACAGCTAATACCCAAGAATACTGTATTTAAATAGTTTTAGCTATATCCCACTTCTTAATTTTATTTGGTCTTAAATCGATTAATTGAGAATATTTTTTTATTAATTTTTGGAAAACCTGATTTTTTTTTTAATATTTTTTCACAATGCCTTAGTAGTTTAAGTTAGATAGGGGGACCAGCCTTACGCACTAAAGGTCACTTAAGGACAAATAATGGCCTGTTGTGATACAATGGATGAGACACCGTCCAAACTTCAAACCTGAGAAACCACCTCAATAATAGAAGTGTGTATGGATAGCGTTCCTTTGAGAAGGTGCGACTCCCCATTCGAGTAGAGTGTTGTAAACCAACTTGAGAACACAATAAACTAGGTTACGTCCCTTATTTTAAAGGATGACACACTTCTCAGGTTAGTAAAGAGAGTGGTGATGGAGTTTCAGAATCTACCAAATGCAGGGTACTGACACATAAGGTATAGTGGATTTATCTCCTAACTCGTAAGAAATACGTAAAGATAATAAAAAATAATAAAAAATAATTCAAAACTTTTTCAAAAAAGTGGGCATTTTTTATAAATGAAAATTTTCTAATAATAAAACTACTTAGAATCTTTGAACCAATATAAACACAAAAAATATTGAATGGTTTAAGACAAAGAATGCCATGTAAATTATTTGAATGATTTATAGGATTATATATAGCATATATATAAGGTGCTCTGATAGTGTGTTCCTACTTAAATTTTTGATTTTTTATATACGTTATACATATATGAATGTACTACGTACACAAAAATCGTTATATTTTCGTATAGAACAACTCACATTTCGTATATTTCTACAAAAGACTTTATATACATGTTATATGTAAGGTGTTTTTTTTAGCTGCATGAGTACTTAAAATGATAGAAATATAATAAAATAATAGAAATATTTTTGGATTGATTTTTTTTTATTATAATCTACTAGATAATTTCATAGCATTTATTTCATAAATATGATTTCCGGCTGATGATATGTCAGTCGCGGCTACAAGTTACATGATCTACTAGATCAGTCCTATTTTTGACAATTTTTTTCAATAAATGTGGCGTGAATATTCTCTTTAAATGTTTCAAAAGTTGCTCGTTTGTCCGCATAACCGTTATGCCAATGAGTTTACATAGCCCCATAAAAAGTAAACGTTAATCGTGAGATGTTTATTCGCACGAACGAGGGTAACGGGCAAGTTAACAGGACCGAAATAAATCGATTGATAAGCGCGCTGTATGATAAGTTCCGCCATAGATCGAACATATTTGTTGGACCCAAATATTATCGATGTTTACTCGAAACTGATTAATTTTTGGAAATAAAAATTAGGTTAGCATGGTTGGACAACGCTCGCTATCCACTATAGCGGCAGTTCCTTTCTCATTTCGATAGAAATAAGGACCAAAGATGATTTTGATCCTTATTTCTTTTGAGTCGATTATTGATTTTGAGTCGAGATAAGCAAAATTAGTACGAAAATGATCAATAACTGCACGAATTGCTTGCTATTTAGGCCGTAAAATGGACGAAGTGCTCTATGAACTTCGCAAAGAGATTTATTTTTTTTAAAGTTAATTTCCACAATTTGAATGCGTTGTTCTGGACTTAAACGATTCATGACGAATTGTCAAACTTAAATGAACAGAAATTATTACACAGTTTAACATTCTCATCTATCAAACCATAGTTATCGATATCGATAGTTTTCATACAGCAAAAAAAATACCCGTTTATATACCACTTATACAAAATACGTTTAAAGTACGAAGTATTATTAATAGTATATATCTCTGATAATAAAAGGTAAGTAATTTGACTTATTTGAAAACTTTCTTCAGATTAGCAATGTTAGTCTAGTCTATATTTAACGATATATATAATGGGTAATCAATACGTATACAGCCTACAACTATCTGTAGTTTTTGGATCAGTTTTTTAATAAATGCCTCAGTATGAAATAACCTTTTTTATAAGGTCTATTAGTGAAACTAAAAGTTATATTGTATAGGTTTGTTAAAGGAAATAAATAGCAAATGCTGCCACAAAACTCTATGGAACTTATGTCATTTTAAAATTATAAAAGTATAACACATCAATCATGCTGAATACATGAGTAAAATATAAAAACTTGATTTTTGAAAATTAATATTAAATACGTTTAATTTAAATTAAATTTCATTAAATTCTGCTATAAAACATTCATCGTCGAGAGTTACTAATACCTTACATTAACTTACAATAACTATTTGTTTACATTATCGTAGAACTGAGTGAAATCGTAAATAAAAATATTTTTTATAAAAACAAAATTTTTCTCGTGTAATAAAATAACATAAATTAGCATTTTTAAGAACTTGACTTCTGTAGAAATCTCAACAAAGAATGCGCCTCATGGATTTTCCAATGCAAAAAAATGTATAAAAACTGCAATCGTTTCTGAAAATTCATCAGTGAAACTTTTAAGTTGAACAGAAAACATAATAAAAAACTTCAGTATGAAATTCGTTGCATTTGGATTCTTGCTTGCCATGATCTTGGCTCTCTTTGCCAGTGAGTCCACATTAACTAGCAAAATAATCTTATAGGGTTGAGTTAAAAATTCTATAATTCTTCTATATATTTCAGATACTCTGGCTAATCCTCAAGATTATCTTACTCCAGAAGATCCACGTCATCATCCTTCATCAGTTGAATTTAACCAATTCGCTCCAGATGCCAGCTCTCCTTTTTAGATAATTGTTTTCGGTGAAATGTGGAAGAAGGCGATTTCAATTATATTAGGACACTATTAGTTTATATATTAAAATTTGCTTTTAGTTGCTTAAATGGAATATAACAAATAAATGAAATTCACTTTTTTCAAATGAAATTTTTAAATTCTATAATTATTTTTAATACAAATTATGGTTACTGACCTGTTGATATTATGCTTATAATCGTTTAGATTTCGAAATCCAAGGTAAGGAGCAAAAAAATCGAAGATAAAGGAAAAATAATCAATTTTTAGAAAAATTCTTACTTTCGATTTTCAGAAGAAGATACAAATGATTTATTTTGATTATACTTATTTATCTGCTTTTATAGAAAGGTTTTTAAATAGAAGTTTCTCCTTCCATATAGTATGATTCCTCGTTTAATATTTGAAATTTCCAAAAAAAATTGAACAAAACTAGAAAATTCAATTGGTATTGAATACTGATTGAACCCATAAAAATCAAAGATCACAGATTTGAGCTAGGGATACAAAGATAAAAGAGTGTTTGCAATAGGATTGTTTCATAAAAGCCTTTGAATTGTACTGAGAGCCAAATCCAACAAGTTGATAATTATTTTTGTTTTAAGGACGTTTTCTGCTTTATAGTTGAACTACTTTATTATCTATATAAGGTGAATGAATAAAGAGGTTTTACTTAAAAAAGTATTGCTTTTATTATTCATAAGTATGATTTGGATACAGAATAAAATAATAAATATATACATTACGTATACTGAAATCGTGGTAATATTTATAAAAACATTATATTGAAAACTTGATTATATCCCAGAAGTATGTCAGTAAAAATTCTGAAAATGGCAGCTTCAAAGTAGCCCCATGACTTTAGTTATTTGATAAGAGTAGTGACTTCAAATAACTTCATAGACAATAATACAAAGACGAGATCGTACGATCGTCCACGACTCTTTACAAGACAATGACCTGAAATCAAGTACTAGTAGAATCTTTTTAGTAATAACTTAATCGTGTTACGCACTGTGTGATATGTGTCGTCCTGTTAAAACCAAAACTGCTTAATAGGGAAATTAAAAACCACATAATCATGCACATTTAGCAATAAGTTTTAAATCCCAGCATTTTTGAAAAATTTGGGTCAATCCTTACACTAACTTGTAAAGCACCTTAATGTATACTTATGGTGATATGACATAATGTAATGAATACAAATATTTAACTATATTAAAAGGATCACTTCTAGATTAATAAATGAGTATAAAACTCCAAAAAGTACTGAAAGTATAGCAGAATTCATTCTTTATAATTCGTAAAATATGGCCTATAACTCAAAATGTTGATCTTATTTTTTTGTTATTAAATATTATAAAATAAGTCCATTTCATATATGCTGACTGATAGCCCAATACTCATTTATAAAAAAGCTAATTATAAAATAAGGTCAAATAATCTATATACATAAAAGAAAGTCGTGTTAGTTAGACCACTCATAACTCAAGAACGGCTGAACCGATTTTAATTATCTTTGATTTGTTGGAATCGTCTCCGCTCCGAATAGCAGAATACATTATAAAATATTGGAATCCGCTAGATTCATTACTTCGTAGATTTCTAAGAAATATGTCTCAATCTTGTCAGGCTTTTATTTACGAAGGAAGTTATAATTCCTTCTTCATCCTTGCGGCTGCTGCCTAACTGGTTAAGGGATATTCCATTTTTTGTCATATGTAACCACTGGCCAGCACCGTCACATAATTTATAATTAGGTATTGGCGCTACCTTGGCAGCATTTTCGTTTTCAGCTTGGCAACGTTAGTTGAGATTTTTCGAAGTCCATTATAATTTTTCAAAATCCTTCCGGCGCTTATGAGATGTACATGTGTTGAAATTATTTGCAAAATGTAAAAAAAGTTATTTATTTAAAATTTAAGTCCCTTAAAGGGACTGTAGGGGCCATGTGAAATCTTGTTATTGCATTTAAACCCTGATAATTAGGTCACCAAATACACCTCTTCACTACTCAGCTTTACTAAGATGGGTTAATTATTATACTCAAGAAAATAAATAACAAGAAGGTCAAATATATTACAGTCTGCCAATAAAATGTTTATTATGAGTATATGACAATATTCTTTTATATTTCCTTCTTCAACTCTAATGCAATATTGTAAACATACTGTATAAAATATATAGTTCTTATATAACTTTGTTAAGAACAGTAAAGATCTTTGATACATACTGTTTTTAAGATAAGTATTTCATTTACGCCAAACCGTTCTCATCTACTTGGCCTTAAATTATGCCAGCAGATAGTGTGAGATAAGCAGAATAAAGAGTATAAGGACAGTTAAGTAAACAATTCAAATTTTTACCTATTATTATCCATGATATATGTATGGCACATTATCTCAAAAGAAGGACAGGTTTCATGTGTTTAATTATATTACGATATTATTGTTAAACGACCCACTTAATCTTAATATGTATATACAAATGTATATATCTATATTTTATATATACGTACATTAATTTTTGATTATATAGAATCATATAATCATTGAAAGATTGAAAGAATATTGAAAGATTAAATAAAATGTAAATAAAAATGAATAAATTTCAATTAAACATAATAAATCGGGAAAAGAAGTATCTAATTTTAATAGAATAAATATCTATATGTAAAATATTGATATGTAAATATATTTTTGTTTCATAGTCTGTACATTGCGCTTTGATTTATATGCGAATATTAAATATATTTTTGATAAAGAACTTTGTATTGAATTGAATTTAAATACATTTGAATAAAAATAATATTTATCAATCACTTTTTATATATTTTTTGAACCCGTGTTAAAAATAAATTTTTATAAAAAAGACATTTTACCGATTTTTAAACCCTTGAAGATTGTATAAATATCGTAGTCAATCCTAAAAATTAATCAGTGAAACTTTCGAGTTAAACAGAAAACATTAAAAAAACTTCAAAATGAAATTCGTTGCATTTGGATTCTTGCTTGCTATGATCTTGGCTTTATTTGCCAGTAAGTAGACTTATGGAATTATATTGAGCGGATTTGGAAGTTACAAATATCCTTATTATATTTCAGACACTATGGCCAATCCTCGAAAATATCTTCTTAATGCTGACGAGCCACGTCATCATCCTTCATCAGCTGAACTTAATCAATTCGCTCCAGATTTTTCACAAGCAGGATTGTAAAAATGATGACATTTAAAGGAGTGAAATTTTAGTCATTTGAACAGTTAATGTCGGTGTTTAAGTTTGCTTTTAATATCTATATATTAGTTGCAAAAGATGATATTTACTTCTTTTAAATAAAATTAGCAGGATATAAAAAATCAAAATATTTTTTTATTTTCTGATTTATTTTAAAACATTTATGATATTTATATTAGTCCTACAAGTTGCTTGTGGAGTGCAAACCGAGTACAAAATATAATATAGGTGTATGTGAGAATATATTTATCATTATCATCGACATTGAATAAGAAGGAAAGATGTATCATTCATAGTATTTCTTACATATATGCCTAAATGAATAAAAAATTTTAATAGGACATAGTTGCTTCATATCTGACTATTTCATTAATCATAATTTATTAATTTACCCAATAGCTTTATTTTTGTATAGGTTCACCATGAAACAAAATTTGTGAAAATGAGTGTAAACTTTCTGAAATGAATGTAATATTTACTAAATGGGAGGCAGAAACCAGCTCTCTTATACCATAGTACGTTGAAGCTAGCATTAACGTGTTACAAGAATAAATCACATTACGTTTTGCCTGATCCTTTAAAAAATATATGGGCTCCTCTATATAGATATTCTATGACAAAAGATGTTCAAAACCATATAGTATTGTGATTTATAATTGATATTATATTGAAAACGTTTTTATGAGGTCTATGGACTTACCATCATATGTAAATTCCATAAATGTGAAAGGACTTACTTCGTTTTTTATGTTATTGTAGTTCCTCTACCGTAAGTGATGGTTTAATACCACAAATTTCGTTTGAATAAATCAATTTAATATACCATTATAAATAGCTTGCGTACGAAAATCTTAGTTAAATTGTTTAAAATTAAAATTAAATACAATAAATTATTTCTATTTAATTTTCTTTACAACATAACAATATTTATCTTCAAGATCTAATTGTATCTTTCATCAACTTGTCTTAATGTCATAAATAATTATTATTTGTTTACACTTTCATAAAAGTAAATAGAACTGTAAATATAAATTAAATTTAATACAAATACAAAATTTTTGTCGTGTAATAAAATAACATAAATTAGCATTTTTAAGAACTTGACTTCTGTAGAAATCTCAACGAAGAATGCGCCTCATGGATTTTCCAATGCAAAAAAATGTATAAAAACTGCAATCGTTTCTGAAAATTCATCAGTGAAACTTTTAAGTTGAACAGAAAACATAATAAAAAACTTCAGAATGAAATTCGTTGCATTTGGATTCTTGCTTGCCATGATCTTGGCTCTCTTTGCCAGTGAGTCCACATTAACTAGCAAAATAATCTTATAGGGTTGAGTCAAAAATTCTATAATTCTTCTATATATTTCAGATACCCTGGCCAATCCTAAAGTAGCTCTTACTCCAGAAGATCCACGTCATCATCCTTCATCAGTTGAATTTAACCAATTCGCTCCAGATGCCAGCTCTCCTTTTTAGATAATTGTTTTCGATAAAATGTTGAAGAAGGCGATTTCAATTATTTTAGGACACTATTAGTTTATATATTAAAAGTTGCTTTTAGTTGCTTAAATGGGATATAACAAATAAATGAAATTCACTTTTTTCAAATGAAATTTTTAAATTCTATAATAATTTTTAATACAAATTATGGTTACTGACCTGTTGATATTATGCTTATAATCGTTTAGATTTCGAAATCCAAGGTAAGGAGCAAAAAAATCCAAGATAAAGGAAAAAAAATCAATTTTTAGAAAAATTCTTACTTTCGATTTTCAGAAGAAGATACAAATGATTTATTTTGGTTATACTTATTTATCTGCTTTTATAGAAAGGTTTTTAAATAGAAGTTTCTCCTTCCATATAGTATGATTCCTCGTTTAATATTTGAAATTTCCAAAAAAAATTGAACAAAACTAGAAAATTTAATTGGTATTGAATACTGATTGAACCCATAAAAATCAAAGATCACAGATTTGAGCTAGGGATACAAAGATAAAAGAGTGTTTGCAATAGGATTGTTTCATAAAAGCCTTTGAATTGTACTGAGAGCCTAAATCCAATAGAACAAGTTGATAATTATTTTTGTTTTAAGGACGTTTTGTGCTTAAAACTTAAAATTATCACAGAAAACTGTCACAGAAACCTGTAAATTAAAACACCACCTTACCACACTTGGCATATATACGGATGCAAACTGTAGATTATACGAAGAGAATGATGACTCCGCTACACATTGCTATTAGAATGATCAGTGCTAATGCAGACTCGGAATAGACTCCTGGAAATGTATATACTTACAGAAGAAGCAATAAAACTCTGTAAAATAGGTTCTATACTAATTTTTATCGAAGCAATAGGGCTTAGAGACATACTCTAAACCCAGAATGGGGTACAATTGACCTGATGATACATCTCCTATTAGTAATAAATAAATAAATAAACTTATATTCGCGAATTTAGTTCTACGATGAAACTAGGCAAGAACAAATACAAGTATTACTAAACTGTATTATAATTTCTAATTTGCAATGTCTTTTAATACGATTGGGATAAATTTACTTTTACATATGTAAACATTATTTTACTCATTAGGCATAAATGATTTTAAATATATTATTTTTGAATTTAAAAATTTTGATTAAGTTGTGTAACTTTACACTCGAATTACCATAGCTCACTCAAAAAACATCTATCTAAATATAAATCTACAGTAAGTGAATTAGTTTCAAATCCACCAATTCAGCTGTGAGTTGATGAATAAGAGACTCCTTAAAGAAACTGTAGATGGCATGAAATCTTGTCATATTATGATTATTGACTTACAATCAGTTTACTAATTATACTCTTACACTACTTAGCTTTGCTAATATGGGTTAATCACTATACTCAATAATAGCTGTGTTTCAGCAAACATGATCCGCTCAATTTTACATGCAAAACAAAAACAATGGGGTGAACCAGCAATTGATCTGGTTCACTTTCTGGTTCAATGTGGAATGTATGTAAAAGATAAAAGTGGAACGTATTTTAATGCAAATAAGGTTGGCAATGCGATGCACGGTGCAGTAAAATTTTAAACAAATCTACATTTATATTTATTTACTATTGATTTTATTTATTTATTATTTATTTTATGTACTTATTTAATTAATATGTCATTATTATTTATTTCTTTGTTTAAAGTAACGTTCTAATTATCAATGTAATTAAAATTATTACTTTAATAATTTACGTTTTATTATTATTGAAAAAGTGTTGTTTGATAATTTATTAATATCATTTAATTTGAAATGAATATATAAAAATTAAGTTGAATACATTTATTTAATTAAAACAGAACAATACATAAGAAACCAGGCTCTCCAACATATACGTTTATAAAAAAATCATTTTCATCGCAAACTGCCTGCAAGATTAAGCCATAGTCATGCTTTCTTTTGAAATAAGCCTATTTGCTATGGTTTGGTGAATTTATTTTTAGATGTGTACTGTCTATACAACCAATTACGAACGGGAATTTTTTCGAAGCTTCCATTTTTGCATTATTACCAAGTGCGTATTTTAAATTAGTGTCCAATTGATATAAGCTAAACACTAGTTTTTTTAATTATTCTCCACACAGAAGCTCTTGGTATGCCAAAACAAATACCAAATTTGCAAAAAGTATTCATATTTGCCATATACCACAAAAATATATAAAATTACTTCATTGCTCTCGTCCAAATGTGATCATCACGGTTATTTTGCATTTGCTGATTGGAATTTATTAACAAATCTATTAAAATATGAAACATAATTAATATATAGCAATTGTATTTTTTATGCGCAAATATCAATCAAATAATCTTTAACGAAAAAATTATTGATCGTTTCCACAAAACTTCCACTATATCTATGCTGATACACTTCATCCCTTGAGCTTAATACCATACACTTGAACTAGTAAAAAGGGAATGGAAGAGTCAGTTTCGCTCGATGATTCTAATAACATATGCAATTTTCATTTATTAACTATAGAATTAAATTTAAGTTTTTAAGTAAATACTTCAGACATTTCAACAGATTTTATTTATTTTCTATTTTTTTAGATTTTTTTTGTATTCAAAATTTTCTCACTTATTTTTTTAGCGCCAAAATTATTCACACAAATCAAAAAATTTTGTACACAAACCCAACTGTCATATTTCATGCGTTTGCCAATTATTTTCAAACGTGATCCGTATCGTTTCAGCAAAGATGATTCAGATCATTGAGCGGATCATGTTTGCTGAAACACAGCTAATAATTAAGTAACAGGAAGATCTAATATAATATGGTTTAACATAAAAATCATTGTTATGAGCGGGACCTGACCTTATTTATTTATATTTCCGTCTTCAATTCTGATGCAATGTTATATAAAATACATCTTTCTTATATATCTTTGTTAAGAACTGTCAAATCTTTCATATGCACCTTTGTTTTGGAGATCAGTTTTTAATTCACGCCAAACCTCTCTGATCTACTTGGCATTAAAAAAATGCAAATAGCTAATAGTTGTTGGTGTGAGCGAAGGAGATTATATGTCATGAGGAGAATGCCTTTCTTTTGAGAACTAGTTTTTCATTCACGTCAAACCTCTCTCATCTGTTGGGTCTTGAAATATGCAGTCAAATAGTGTGGGCTATGGAGAACACACTAGTTAAGTAAACAATTGACAGTATAGTTTGTGTTTTGTGCTATCGTTATTGATGATAATCATACAGAACTCGTTTCTTGTATTTCATTATTTTACGACATCATTTTTTTAAATGTCCAATTACTTTATACAATTTTAAATATTTATAATCCATTTTTTTTTTCGAGATAATCGTTAATTATTATCTTGTGCGCATTTTAAATTATTTAGTAACTGTGAAATATAAGTAAAAATGGATAAATTATAAATGAATATAATAAATTAAGAAAACTAGTATCAAATTTTAATAGAATAAATATCTATATGTAAAGTATATACCTATAAGTAAATATGTTTTTTAGTTATCTTCATTCATATGCCAATATCAAATATATTTATGATAAACAACTTTGTATTGAATTGAAAATAAATGCATTTGAATAAAAATAATATTTATCAATCACTTTTTATATATTTTTTGAACCCATGTTAAAAATAAATTTTTATAAAAAAGACATTTTACCGATTTTTAAACCCTTGAAAATTGTATAAATATCGTAGTCAATCCTAAAAATTAATCAGTGAAACTTTCGAGTTAAACAGAAAACATTAAAAAAACTTCAAAATGAAATTCGTTGCATTTGGATTCTTGCTTGCTATGATCTTGGCTTTATTTGCCAGTAAGTAGACTTATGGAATTATATTGAGCGGATTTGGAAGTTACAAATATCCTTATTATATTTCAGACACTATGGCCAATCCTCGAAAATATCTTCTTAATGCTGACGAGCCACGTCATCATCCTTCATCAGCTGAACTTAATCAATTCGCTCCAGATTTTTCACAAGCAGGATTGTAAAAATGATGACATTTAAAGGAGTGAAATTTTAGTCATTTGAACAGTTAATGTCGGTGTTTAAGTTTGCTTTTAATATCTATATATTAGTTGCAAAAGATGATATTTACTTCTTTTAAATAAAATTAACGGGTTATAAAACATTAAAATATTTTTTATTTGCTCAATAGTTTTGCGAAAATAAGTTTTTTTATTTATTTATTATTAATAGGATTTAGAGTATGTCTCTAAACCCTATTGCTTCGACAAAAATTAATTTAGAACCCACTTTACAGAGTTTTATTGCTTCTTCTGTAAGTATATACATTTCCAGGAATCTATTCCGTGTCTGCATTAGCGAAGGGTATTCTAATAGCAATGTTTGGTCGAGTCCGCATTATCTTTGTAGAATCTGTAGTTTGAATCCATATATATGCCCAGTGTCGTAAAGTGGTGCTTTAATTTACAACGCTTTGTTAAGTTAAGATAACTCTACACAATTCCGGTATCTTCTTTTGTCATAGGTACCAATAAGTGATTTAGATTGTCTAATTTTTTTTTTTGTTTTGGTTTTCCTCGTTTTTATGAGAGAGAGGAGGTTACTGCGTCCTCTTCTATCACACCCCATCAGCGGTGTGATTGCTTCTATCCTGGTATTAATTTCCTCTAACGCCAGTATGCCCCGGTACACATATCTGCTTAATTTCACCGAGGAGGTTTAACTTTTCAAGGCATTCTTGCATCAGTCTGGAGGTCATTTGATGCAAGTTTAAGGCTTAAAATCTGCTTAACTGTCTGTCAGTATAATGATACCTTTTCCCTGGTATTTTCGGTTAAGTGAAAGTTTCTTCTTAGAAGATGCTTGTATTTTTGCCTGCAGCTTCTTAATGCTTGTCGTCAGGTCCGACTATGCCTGTTCCGTACCTTTCTCCGTAATCGAAACATCAGTGAACCATGTGATTGTGTTTTCCGTCTGCTGGAAGGTTTGTTCGACATCCTCTAAGCTCCTTTTGTTGCTTAGTTTAGTTTGGTAAAGCTGAATTTTGGATTCAATATGTCTCATGGCATTAAAAATTTAGGGCGCTGATAGCATCAACATTACAAGTATATAATTACCAACT